GTAAGTTATTATTGTTTGAATTTATACGTTTATATTGTAATGTGACTTTATATTGTAATGTGACTTTATATTACTTTATGTATTGTGATTAGATTTTCAAGAATCATTGACCACGAATGGTATGTGAACGGCGTAGAATTTTACATCCGAACAATTTTTATTATGCGTTTTTACAAGAACTTATTGTATATCAAATCCATGCAAAATGGTATCTGAAGAGGGCTCAATCTGGTAGCCGAAACTTGTAATGTGTTTCTCAATTTATTTAATTAAATGTTATCTTATATTTTATATTCAGACATTTTATATTTGACTCAATCTTTTATGTTTCACCAATTTTCGGACTAATTTTTTGCGTATTGACTCTTACTTCGACCTTTATTTATTGTTTTTGATTTTTATATAAAGAGTCCTTCGATTTGTTTTAATAAATATTAGCTATATCACGTAAATATATATTGAAAGAACAGTTTTGCTGAAGTATTAAAAATTTGTTCTAAATACAGCAATAACAGTTGGATCATTTTAAAATTATTTATTTATTTTACTAGTTTCGTAAATATTAAAATTTGATGTGACAAATTAGTAAAATAAACCAGAAAACAATTTTGATGATCCAATAAAACTATTTTCATTATTTTTATGCTTCAGCAAAACTGTCTTTTCCGTGAACGATCGGTCTTGTTGCTTATGAATCGTTCACTCATATATATATCTATTTATATTATTTGTATATTTGGCATTAAATCCCGCTGTAACTTTTCTTAACAATTCTTCTCATTTTTAGATTATCTCAGGATAAGGATGAAGAGGATATGGATAATTCTGATGAGAGCAAACAATCAGAGAAGAATTTCGTAGTATCTAATTCCTCAATACTATCATCATCTTCAGACATTCCATGTTCATCCATATTATCATTGTCAAAAGAAGAATTTTTAATGCACACAAAATCAACACAATCGACAACATAAAGTCACCTACGCCCTAGGTGCATCTTTAAGAATGGACGTTCATGCAGTGCTGATAGATCGGAAACTATTGATCAATATCTAACGAAAATGATTGCTACGACACAACTTCCTCTATATTTGTCTCATGTTCTGGTTTTGTTAACTTTATGTCTGTTATTGAGCCTAATTATAAAATTTGCAAAGAAATTACTTTAAAAAAAAGATTAAATAATTTATATACTAAAGTTAAGAACAAAATTCGTGAAGAATTGAGGGTTGCGCCTATTGTGGCGTGCACTTCTGACTGCTGGACATCATTAGCACAAGACTCCTATCTTACCATGACAACACATTTAATAGATGACAACTGGAAACCCAAATCTTATTCCCTTTCGACCCAGCAGATGATCGAGCGACACAGAGCAGCTAACCTTTCTGATGCAATGGGGATCATTTTTAGGAAATGGGAAATTTCTGATAAAGTATTAGCGGTAGTGACTGACAATGCGGCTAATGTTGTAAATACAGTGCGCGATACAATTGAAATTCAAGAACAATACGGTCTTACTTGTGCAGCCCATACTCTGCAGCTCGTTGTAAATGAAGCTTTAGCATATCCAAAAATACAAGAGATTTGTGAAAAGGCTGGAAAATTAGTGGAATATTTTCGCCATTCAAATGTAGCTACCAAAGCTTTATCGAAGCAAGAACAACTAAACATGAAGCCATTAAAATTAATTCAGAGTGTCAAGACGAGATGGAATTCCACATTTGAGATATTGGAAAAACTTATTGCAAACCGTTTGCCCATATCAAATGTTTTGGCTGATAGGAATGTGACTACTTCTACTATAAAACATGAAATTACGGAGGCGCAATGGACACAGATGGAAGAATTAATAAATCTGTTGAGACCATTGCAAATGGCCACAACTGTTTTTTGTACAGACAAGCATTCTCCTGCTTCCATAGTGCGCCCATTAATTTGGAAGATAGTTCGCCTTCATATGCAACCAGTTCCTGAAGATTCAGATCTTAGAATTGCAAAACCGCTTTAAGCTTATCGAAAACTTCTCTGACGTAAGCGCACGTCTTACTGCCTCATTCTTTGATCCTCGGTCCAAGAAGTTAGAAGACGAATCGGCTGAGACAAGATAAAAGGTAGAAAATCATGTTCGCAGTCTTTTCGATACAGAACCAATAAGCACAATATCTGATGCAAAAAATGATCCCAGAAAAGCTGTAAGCAAAACTGCTTTAGAATTTTTATTTTATCAACCAGTACATTGTCTTAATGATGCGGAATCTCAACTTCAAGCTTATCTTACGAAGCCACAATTAAGATTTAATTTAGATTATTTAAAGTGGTGGAAAGCACGAGCTGATAGATTTCCGATATTGAGCAATTTAGCTAGGAAATATTTATGTATTCCTGCGACATCGGCTAATTCAGAGCGTACTTTCTTTACAGCTGGGAATATTGTTACCCCAAAACGTAGTTTGTTTCCTGAAAATGTAAATATGCTTGTGTTTCTTTACCAGAATAGGTCTATGTACACATGTCAAGAGTGATATGATCCTGTCAAAGTAAAAAATGTGTATCTATTGATGTGTGGATGTGTTGAACGTATAATACCCCATCGCAGCATGTAGGATTATTAAACCCACCAAGCTAATGTTTGGATAACAAAAATTCTAATAAATAAAAATAATTCAGCTTTCTCTACAAAGTAATATTAAAATAAAAAATAGATTATCACATTCGAATTGATTATTAGTTTTTAGTTCTTATATCTGTTATTATATTTTACATAAAAATGTCGAAACTTCCATTTTCTTTATATTACATTGCATTCGTTAATATATTGGAATTATCTCTAGTTTATAATATATAATACTAGAATATAATATACAATATTATTGTATAGGATATAATATATATAATAAAGTTTGGTTTAAAATAAAATAAAGAAATAATCGAAAAAAAAATTTTCGATTTTCTCAATTCGTCACACTTCTTAATAAAGGGATAAACTTTTATATAAAAAAAGTGAAAATATTCGGAAAAACGATTCTAATAAACGAATATGCTAATTATACGTGTAAACGTGTTTTCGTTTAAACGTATAATAATTAATTACACGTATATTCGGAAAAACGTTTCTAATAAACGGATATACTAATTATACGTGTAAATGTATTTTCGTTTAAATGTATAATAGCGAGCCCTAGTCGAAATGTTTATTGCCAAACATCAGTCCGTCCTTGTGTAGATAAACGCCATATACGCGATCTATACCGTTCCCTTTTCCTCGCGCTCCGCTCATGACAGCCTCGACGTACTTTCGTCCCAGCGGGCCCAAGCTGACTCGCAACGCCTCTCGACCTTCCGACGTTTGCAATCGATGTTGAACCTTCGTTGCGAATGAGTCGTCCGTCGTTTCGAAAACGTTCTCGAATGATTCTATCGGTGATATGATCGTCGTACGCGGGGTGGAGGTTATCGGCTGTACATGATCGTGCGACCGATCATCGGATTTACGCAGAGTTGCAGAACGCTCGAATGTCTCGCTCGCTTCCTCCTCTTCCTCCTCCTCCTCCTCCTTCTTCTCGCGCTTGGGGGCAGACGCTACGTCATCGTCGCGCGACTCTCTCTTTATCGCACGCACGCCAGAGCTGTTAACGATCTGTCGTAACGGTTTGATAATAGGTTTAAAATGTCTGTCCAACGTCATGCTCTCCTCGATTCTACCGGTCTTCAGAGAACGTTTGTTTTACCGCAATTCGACGGGCTGCAAATGATCGCGCGTATAGTACTCGGCAGCATTTCGCCGTGCTTGCGCTTCTCTACGCTGCCTCCCATCATTCGCGATTTCGCGTCGCAGTTCATGACGCGTATCGTCAGCGGTTTCCACACGAATTTCATGTTCGCATTACGGGCTACGCGTCCTTGACCGCCTATTTAAAGGTGCGCCAACTCGCGAATCGCGCAATATCAAAATGTATCTCGCGCTGTGTCATCCTTCCGATATTCTAGACTTGAGCACCGAACAGTTGCAGTATACGAGTATACCGAAGGTCGTACTGTTACGCGTGTACGGCGACTATATCGACCACGTGTGGGATAAGCTTCCTGAACATGTGAAGGCGGATTCGGAGATTCGAACCTATCGTCGCTGCGACGAGCACTACAATCAGCTGTGGCAGCGAATGCACATCGACGGTCCCGCACCGAAGACAAGGGATTGCAGCGAATGTCGGCGTCGCGCGGTAGTCTGTTGAATCGAGCGATAAACGGGTTTCCTTTCGAGTTACATATTCCGGGCTATCAGTTTTGCAGTCCGGGCACACGGCTGAGGAAGCGAATAGCCAGAGGTGATAAGGGTATAAATCCGCTAGACGCGGCGTGTCGCGAGCACGACATAGCGTATTCGCACAGCAACGATCTCACCGATAGACACGCGGCGGATAAGGTACTCGCTGATAAAGCGCTAGGACGCGTCATCGCGAGAGATTCGGCTCTGAGCGAGAGAGCCGCCGCTGTTGCCGTCTGGGCAGCGATGAACGCCAAGACTAAGATCGGCATGGACATGAAACCGAAGAAGACGACGACGACGACGAGGAAAAAGACGACGAAAAAACGGATACTTCCGATGGCAAAACGGGGTGGCGCGTTACCAATTCTAAGAATGTTGGGCGCGCTCGGGTCCTTGATCGGTGGAGCGGCCAGCGTGGCGAAAGCGGTGAACGACAGCAAAGCCGCGCGACGTCAGCTCGAAGAGCTGCAACGTCACGATCGCGCGATGGAACAGGGTCGCGGCTGTATCTCGCTCCGTACAAATACGAACGCGGACTGTATCTCGGCCCGTACAAACGCGGATAGGACATAGCAGCGAAGAAAAAAAAACGTCAAAGAAGCAATAAAAATGCCGTTGGGCGCAACTACCAACGTGCAATTGGACGAGCTCGCGAGACGTATGCGCGTACCGTACTTTTTAGGCCTGTTCTACAATACGTCGTATGTCGGCGTCGGTTGTCGTGCGCATGCGTATTCGGTTGTCGACTGTCGCATGAAATTGTCGAGTGTGGACTGTCGTTGTCGAAACGAGAGATGGTCATTTCTATCTTTTGCGGCTTGCGACTAACATTTGTGACAATTTAAGGGGATGCTGGAGTGACGGCCGAACTTGATCGAGGTCGATAAAATAGATTTTATATCGTCCGCTTACGCCCTCTTCAGGAGACTTAGACTCTCATGCGCTGAGCAGCTGTGAGCAGCTATAAGCACTCACGTTTCTAGCTGTTTTCAGCCGTGCGCCGTTTCCAGTCGCTCGGTTTGCTCACATGTATGAGCATTTAGACAGAACGCAGTCTGAAATATAATTGCGTTCTAAGTCACACTGTGTACTAAAAATCTGTAATCTATGTGACGTAAAATACAGATTTTACTGACAGTATACACGGTAGCACTTTTCGTTATGGTCCGATGCCATTTTAGGGTACATAATGTGTCAAAATGTATCACATGAATATATATTGCACATATATATGTAACTATTTTACCTCTTTTTGCTAAAGAGATAAGATCTGTAATAGTCGTAACATAACTATATATGGATTTTTAGTACTGACAGTGTATGTACATCGATACATGGCCGTAGTAGTGTCTTTCTCTATGTTCCCAATGTCATTTTAGATCAGGATGTAACATGTATTGTCAATACATTGATATTGCACATACGTCTGGCTACGTGCGCAGCTACTCCATTTCTTTTTGTTATAACACATAACAAATAGAGATACAAATTTCTCGTGCTCAGATATTCACGCAGATATATTTACACGAAATATTAGAATTTTATGAGTATTATAATGTGTGTCTGTATGTATGTATGTATGTATAGATATACTTCTATATATATAAATAATAAATATAAGTATATATACATACAAACATATAGACACACATTATAATACAGAGATATGTGAGTGAATATTAGAATGATATTTTATGTGCATTATTATACATACACATTACAAAACATAAAATGTATTTCTAATTCATATCCACTATGTCTAGATGTTTTGGAAATATAAAATGCACATAAAAGTCCAATGCATCTAAACAGACATAGTGAATATGAATTAGAAATACATTTTATGTTTTGTAATGTGTGTACATAATAATGCACATAAAATAAAATTCTAATATTCACTAATATGTCTATGTTATATCTGAATATATAAATATGAGTAACTTCTATCTCTTTTTATTATGGGCCTTCTATGATAAGCCATTAGTCATGAATCAGAAGTCAGAAGTTAAAAATTGACCAATCATAGTTGTCAATTTCTAGCATCTGACTTCTGATATATGACTAATGGCTTATTGTAGAAGGCCAATTGGACATAATAAAAAGAGATGGAATAACTACATATGTATATGTAATGTATCTATGTATTGACAGTACACCTTCAATCCTAAGTTAAAATGGCATTGGGAACGAAGGAAAAAGTGCTATTACGTTACACGTGTATACATGTATTTCAAATACATGTTTGCATCCGAAGATATATTTATGTCACAATCAGTGTTCACTTAGTAAGAATATACTTATTGTAACTTGCTGTTAGTCAGTGTATGCATTGACCAATAAGTGTATACATTTACTAAAATACTTTGAATATGACATACTTATATACATTTTATAGACGTGCAGCGTCGTACGAAAATTATGCATATGGCTATTGA